GGGAGAACCGGGGCCGTCCTTCCCGACGGGGCACCCCCGGTCTCGGTGACCACCGCGCTTCTGGCTCTCGAGCGGCCAGGGACAGGCCCGGGGGACGCGGGTGCCGCATGGCTGCGGGGCAATGGTGGGGCTGGTCCCCGCGGCCGGGAGGGCCCCGAGCTTCCTGCAGCGGCGCCGGGCAGGAAGCGGCTGTTGGCGGCGGCTTTCCTGCTCCGGGGATCCCAGGCGGCCTGAGCGGGTGGTGCCGGGCCCGGCCCCGGCGAGGGTCGCGTCCTTCCCCTTCGGCCCTGCAGGACGGGGACCGGGGGCTGCGGTTCGGGACTCCGCTTCCCGGCGGGAGGGAAGGGGGGGTCGGTCCCGCAGGGGTGACCTCGGGGGGAAGAGAGGGGCCGCCCCGCGCCCGCAGCCCCGCACCGGGCCCGCATCTGATGCCCTTGGAGCTTCGCTGAGTCAGACGGGGTGGGAGCGAGGCGTCCCCCCGACCTTCCCGGGCATTGGCTCGGGAGCGGGCGGGCAGCGCTGGGGCGGGCCGGGCACCGGGATAAACCCCCGGAGCACGGCCCCAGCCCGCGTGTCGAGGGCCCGGTGGCGGGAGGATGCTCCTCAGGGCGCGGATCCTCTGCTGCGTGCTCCTCGCTCTGCTCCAGCGCGGTAAGAGCAGCCCGGAGCTGGGGCTGTGCGGTGCGGTGAGGGGGTACCAGCCGGGGGGACTGCATAGAGGTGCCCAAGAGGTCAGGCACAGGGTCTGGCCTGGCAGCGAGTCCCCACGGGGCCCCTGGCCCGTTTCTCCCCTCCATTCCAACGTGTCCTCTCCTGCCCTACCCTTGGAGGATGCTCTGGGCAGGGTTTGCCCACAGGGCTGGTGCTTGATCGGAAACCATTCTGCCTCTGTTGCCAATGCCAAGGCAGAGCCAGGAGCCTCCTGCTCCCGTTTCCTACCCTTGGCCCTGTCACCTCTGTTCTGCTCAGCTCAGCCTGGGAGGAGGTGGAGGAGGCATGTCTGAGGTGCTGGGAGCATCCCAGCTCATGCCCCAGTGCACCCCTAGCACCCCGTGTCTCTTTGCTGCAGGGTGTGGGGACACAGAGGATGGGGACCTCAAGGATGAAGGTAAGACCCTGATGCCATAGTCCCAGCATGGTTGTGGCCCCAGCTGCAGCAGCATCCTCACAGCCATGGGCTCTGCTGCCCTCACACAGTGTGCAGGTCCCACTGGCGCTGACAGCACTGTCTCTCCTTCCAGGTTACTACGTGTACCTGGATGAGGATGGTGAGGAGCTGCTCTCCTGCGATTCTGGCTGTCATCCCCACCCACCCACAGACCTCCTGTGATCTGTTCTGGGGCTCACAAGGGCCCAGGTCACAGGGCCCTCATGGCTGTAGGCAGCCCCAGTGGGGACCCCCAGGGTTGGCAGATGGGCCCACAATGGGCAGTGCTGGGAGTGTTCCCCATGGGTGACCCCAAACATCCCCCTCAAAACTGAAATCAGAGGGAGAGGCGGCGGGGGGAGCATCCCAGGGTCTGCCTGGTGCTCTGCAGAACTGCCGGAGGTGCTGGGGGGGGCAGCCCGCTGCCAGGACACCTACCAGGACTGGATCTCCCTCTACTGCTGGGCTCCCTTCCACGCCACCCTCATGACCACCCCTGAGGGCAGCCGCTGCCACTGGGACCAGATCAGCAGGTGGGTCAGCGCCGGTCCCGGTGGTGCCGAATGCACACCTAGAGTGGGGCCACTGCACTGGACGTGGTCTCACGCTGCCCCCCCTGCAGCGCCTACAGTGAGCTCTCTGGCTGTACCCAGCTGCTGGCCCAGCTCCTCTCCTGCCCCTGGCCCAGCTCCGTCCTCGATGCCTTCTTCCTGCAGGTTCATGCTGAATACTTCACCAACTGCTCGGGGGCTGAGCCCCCCCGGCCGAGTGCGATGCCCCCCGGGCTGGCTCTGGCTGTGGCCGTGGGGCTCAGCTGCCTCGTACCCCTCGCAGCTGCCGTTGTGCTCAGCAGAGCCCCAAAGGGGGCTCACACCTCAGCCCCTGCCTGTCCCCATGCCTGTGAGGAGCCAGCAGCTGGCCCCTTCCTTCCCAGCCCTGGGAACTGAAGGGTGGGCCAGGGGTGCAGGGGACAGGGCAGAGCAGTGGTGAGGGTCTGGGCATCCCTGGGAATGGAGTGGGTCCCCATGGCACTGGGGAGGGGGAAGCTGGGCCTGGGGCTCCGGATGCCTGCATCTGCCCCAAAGCAGGGGAGAGTCAGGAGAAGGAGACTGGGCTCCTGACCCTGCCTGGGATGAGCCCTTTCCCCAGCTGGCACGGACCAATGGGGATGCCAGGCTAGGGGTGGGGAGCCCCAAGCTTTGGCTGGCAGCCACTGTCCTGTCCCTGCCCATGGCGTCCCTGCCCGTCCCCTCCGGACACCCCAGGAGCCCGGCAGCCGTCCCAGCCCCTGGGCTGTGCTGAGATCATTGGGTGTCTCCCTGGCGGAGGCTCCTGCAGCCCAGGCGGAGGCTTCACTGGCTCCAACCAAGAGCTGGACCAGGGGGCTCCAACCCTGCGGCCCCCGGAGCGCCAGGGCCCTGATGGCTTCCAGATGCAGCCGCTCGCCCATGAAAGGTCCCGCGCTGCTGCGGGGCGGTGGGGCAGGGTCAGGCTGCTGTGCCGGGGAGCGCAGAGCCCGGCAAGATCAGCTTTCCGCAGCAGGGAGGGTCCCTCCGAGCTGCGCTTCATCACGCTCCGATTCCACTCAGTGCATCCCATGGGCGGGTTGTTAAAGGAGAAGCTTTGGACGCACGCTCTGCCCTGGCCCGGGGGTGAAATGAGCTCACTCGGCCTCAGCCTGGTCCTGGGGTGGGAATGCCGAGGGGCAGCGCTGCTGCTGGGGGGGGGGGGTCGGGCCCCACGGGCAGGAGCGGCGCCAGGAGCGAAGGGCGCGGGCAGGGCGGTGCGGGAGGAAGGCGGCGTGGCCGGGGACCGGCGACGTCGGCCAAGCCTCTGCCCTGTCCCCACCTCCCCGCCTGCATCGGCCTCACACCGCGGGCAGGTCACGCCGCCACCCGACCCTCCTTGGCTGAGGCAGGGGACCCCCGGGGCTACCGCGGCGATGCCGGCCATGGGGCAGGTGCCCCGGGGGAGGCAGGAGCCGCGGTGTCGGGGCTGCGGGTCCCCTGAGCCCCGGGCGGCAGCGTCTGTCCGGGGACACGGCGCTTCCCCATCCACTCCCCCCGCTGCCGGGCTGCCTGCCCTCCACGCAGGAGACGAGGGATTTCACAACCCAGCCCAGACAGGATTAAAGAGAAATACACAAGTAAACAAATAGCGGCCTCGTAAAACTGGACGTGCGGCGCGGGGAGCGGAGCCTCCGGGCTGCCGGGTGAGGCGCGGGCTGCCTGGGTGCCGGTGTGCGGGAGCGATGCCCGCAGGGGCCGTTGGCCCCGCACGGCGGCTGGATCCCGCCGGGAGAGCCGCTTTAAAGCAGCGCTGAGCAATCTCATTTTTCACACGTCTCCTGTAGTCAAACTGCCCCTGTCAGAGGAAAGGAGTTGCTTCCTGTTATTTCCATTGAAATACTTGTCCCGGTCGTTAGCCGCAGGCTTCTGCGGGATGGCACCGCGCACGCTGATGGGCTCCGGCCGGTTCTCTGGAGGGGTCCTGCTGCTCGGGGGTAAGTGCAAGGGGGGCGGGAGGCTCCGGTGTCTCGCACCACCCCGGACGGGGGCCCGGGGCCAGGGTCTCGGCTCAGCCCAGCTTGGGCAGTGGGGACAGCGCTGCCTGTGTGGCCAGGGAGCACTGGCAGGCGATGGGTGCTGTGGGGCAGCCCCCACCACACTCACCGCCCAGCTTTTGGCAAATGACCCACAAGAGCGGCTGGGGAGCCCCGCTACACCCCGGGCTGGGGCAGGAGCTGCGGCACCACAAGTGCTCGAGCAGAGACAGGCTGGACGGGGCTGTCAGGGACAAAGACCAGGACGTGGCAGGCTGCCCTTGCTGCTACCGCTGTGCCAGCCCAGAGTTACCCCGTGGCTGCGATGGAGCTCCCTATGGCAGTGCCCACCAAGGCAGTTCACCACACGCCCGGCACTGCTGCCCCATGCCGTGAGCCCTAGGCCGAGGGCAGAAGACGGACGGGATGGTTTCCTCGGGCTGTGGGGCTCTGGTGTTCCAGGCGGGATGTGCCCATGGCAGGCAGTGCTGCGTGTGAGGCAGCCAGCGGGTGGAGGGGGCTCTCCGGCAGTGCCGTGCTGTGGCCAGAGCTTCCTTTTCCTGCCCCAGCCCTGTCCAGCTGCAACACAGCCACCGGGGGCAATGGAGCGGCCGCTGCGGTGGCTCCCCATGGGCAGGGGGCACGGCCGCCCTCACACTGTGGCCCAGGGCCCACAGCCCCCTAACACCCCTCCAAGCCCTTGAGCAGCTGCCTACTGCCCGGCTGCCCCCCCAGTCCCTGCCCTTAGGGCTCTGGCAGCACGCTTCCCTGCAGCCCCGAGGGACACCCCAAACCAGTTCTCTCCTGCAGACCCAGCTCTGTTGTGTCCGTCTCCTGCTGACCCTGTCCCCCCCACTCCACAGTGCTCCTGGGGACCAGGCTGTCCCCTGTGGTTGCCGAGGTGGAGGGCTTTGGCCAGGATGCCAGGACGAGCCCACCCATGACCATGGCCATGTTCAACTGGACCGAGCAGCTCGTGGGTGAGTGCTGGGACTAGGCCAGGGCCGGGCAGTGACGCAGGCTCTGCACAGGAGGATGAATCCTCTCCTTTTGCCTGCAGAGGAGATGTACAACAACCTCACACAGAAGTGCTGGGATTTCTTTGTTGAAGTGATGAGGAACGTGACAGCGTCAGAGCTGTGCGAGTGGAAAGTCATCAGCAGGTACGGGGTGGCTGGAGACCCCCTCCGAGCAGTGCTGCAGGGGTATGGGGGGCTCTGACCAGCTCTGGGGACGGCCCTGGTGGGGGAAGCTGCATGTGGGGACTCTTTGGTGGGGGCATTGCCTGTGGCCCCTTCATCTCCAGGGCCACATGGTGGAAGCAGCTCCCGAGACAGTGGGAAGTGTTTGACCGGGGCAAAGCCCTGGCCAAAGCACCCAGGGCCACCTTCTCCTCCAGCAGCTCCTCTGTGTCCCACAGCTACCTTGTGTCCCCATCCCCTCCCAGCACCCTGTGCTTTCTCCCCAGGCCCTACAGCTTTCTGCAGGCCTGCCTGGAGGACTGGGCTGACCACTTGCACTACGGCTACCCCAACGCGCTGGCAGAGCAGTACATCTTCCAGAGCCACCACCGCTACTTCCACAACTGCACCCTGGAGCACCAGGTCTACTTCGACCCGCCCGAGGACGTGCTGCTGGCCATGATCATCGCCCCCATCTGCCTCATCCCCTTCCTCGTCACCCTTGTCATCTGGCGCAGCAAGGACGGCAAGGCCCAGCCCTAGCGCTGCCGCTCGGGCACCGCGGCTCCAGCTCTCCCGTCCCGCAGCGGGCAGAGACCGGGCAGGGGCCGTGCGTGTCCCGTGCACGTGCTGCCCGCCCCGGGGGTGGAGCGGGGTCTCCGCCGGTGGGGGGGGTGGTGGTCCCGGGGCTACCGACACACGCTGCTGGGGCAGCCCCCCAGCCCCCCGCTGCTCCCGGATGGGGATTAAACGTTTCTTCCCCCCTACACGTTCCACGGGTTCTTGCACCGCTCGGTGCCACCGGCACTGACACGGCCCCGCGGGGCAGCGCTGGGCGGGGAACGCGCACGGAGCGGCACCGGGCACCGAGCACCGGGCACTGGGCACCGAGCACCGGGCACCGGGCAGCAGCAGGGGCCGGGCCGCGAGGGGTGTAGCTCAGAGGGGGCGTGGCTTATGGAGGAGGCGGAGCTTAGAGGGGCGGGGTTTCGGCGGGGCCGGGGCTCTGCGGGGCGTGCCGGAAGCGCTCCGGGCCGGGCGGAAGACGGCGGCGGTTCCGGTGGCGGCGATGAGCTTCGTGTGGCCGTGGCAGTACAGCTTCCCGCCGTTCTTCACGTGAGCGCCGCACCGGCACCGGGATCGGGATCGGGACCGGGACCGGGACCGGGACCGGGATCGGGATCGGGATCGGGATCGGGATCGGGATCGGGACCGGGATCGGGATCGGGACCGGGATCGGGATCGGGACCGGGATCGGGATCGGGATCGGGACTGGGATTGGGATCGGGCCCGGGGCTGGAGTGGGGCCGGGAGCGGAACCGGGACCGGGATTGGGATCGGGAGCGGGATCGGGATCGGGATCGGGATCGGGACTGGGATTGGGATCGGGACCGGGGCTGGAGTGGGGCCGGGAGCGGAATCGGGAGCGGGAGCGAGGCTGGAGCGAGGCCGGGAACGGGACCGGGAACGGGACCGGAAGCAGGGCCCAGAACGGGACCGGGAACGGGAGCGGGGCTGGAGCGGCACCGGGAACGGGGCTGGAGTGGGGCCGGGTGCGGGAGCGGGGTCGGGAGGGGTGGGTGCCGCGGAGCCGCTGACCGGAGCCCCCGCAGGCTGCAGCCCAACGGCGAGACGCGGCAGAAGCAGCTCTCGGCCTGGTGCGCGCTGGCGCTCGCCTACAGCCAACGGCACCGGCTGCCCGCCATGACGGTGCGGGAGGCGCAGGACAGCCCGCTCTTCGCCAACCACCGCCTGCAGCGTATCCTTTGGGGCCCCCCTGCGCCCCGCGCCCTCCCCGCAGCCCCTTTCCCGGTGCACGTGTCCTTAACCCCCGCGCAGGGAAGCTCCCGCTGGAGTCCATCCAGGTGGTGCTGGAGGAGCTCCGTAAGAACGGTGGGTGCCGTCCGGCCGGTGCCCGTGGGGAGGGAAGGGCGGCAGCGGCTGTGTGGGCTCTGTGCGGGCCGCTCCGGGGCCCTGCCTTAGCGGGGTGGGCGGGGAAGAGGGGCCCGAAGGGCAAATTCCTTCCCGTAGACAGAGAGTGCACGGAAGTGGGATGGGGAGAGGTGGGAGCCTGCAGCTCCGGGGGTGCCATGGGCAGCACGTGTCACAAAACCCGGGGGTTTGATCCTTATCGTAGGCCTGTGCCTTGGTTAAACCCCTTTTCCTTCTCCATCTTAGGAAACCTGGAATGGTTGGATAAGAACAAAACCAGCTTTCTGATCATGTGGAGGAGACCAGAAGAATGGGGGAAGCTCATCTATCAGTGGGTGAGGATGCAGGCGCGGTGTGCGGGAGGGCTGGGACCACTGGGATACGATTCCTTTGCTTCCTCACTGCTTCTTCTGTTTCTGTCTGTCACAGGGAAGCACAGGGGCAATAACAGCTTTTTACTTGCTGTAAGATGTAGTTGTGTTCTTATGGCACAAGTCCTTATTGTGAGATACGTGGCTGAGGGAGCAGGGGTGCAGGGAAAGGAGCCTCCTGAGTTTCCTCAGCTGTTGTTTCTTGGCTCCCCGGAGTGTTTCCAGGGTATTACTGCTCATCGGGTGATGTCCGTGTTCCATTCCGCTTGCGCTGAGGGGTCATGCTGAGGGTATTAAATCACACGAGTGAGATTTGTTATATTGCTTTTATGTTTCCAGGTGTCAAAGAACGGTTTGACCAACTCTGTATTCACCCTGTATGAATTAGTCAGTGGAGACGATACAGAGAACGAAGGTAAGGTCGTGTGTCTTGTTTGGAGCAGGTTTTCAGAGCGTGCTGATGACGGTGAGATTGTAGTTTTATAGACTAAATGTTTTTGAATTGCTTATGCAAGTCCACCAGTTTTATTGCTCAGCACTGGCGAATGCTCCTCTGAAGTCTCTTTTTACAGCCCTGGATGAACATCTCCCTTTGTTCTCACTGTTCGCATTTACACCTCCCCACGCCCCAGCTCTTACCTGGCACCCAGTGCTTTGGGTTTATGTCTAGCTCCTGCGCTGCCTTTGGGAGTGATGTGACTCATTCCCTCCTTTCTGTTGACCTTCAGGCTTTGTTCCTGATGCAGCAGCATCAGGACGAGCGTGTAACTCCAGGTTTGCCGTAGTGTTACAGTGCTGGGGTCTGAGAGGTGCTCCTTGGAGCCCTCTGCTTCGCTGCCGCCAGCTCCTGGTGGGCTTTGTAAGCCTCTTTGTTTCCTGATGTGATTTTCTTCTCACTGTTGATGGGCGTCTCTGTCCTTCCCTAGAGTTCCACGGCTTGGATGAGGCGATGCTGCTCCGTGCCCTGCAAGCCTTGCAGCAGGAGCACAAGGCTGAGATCATCACGCTGGACGATGGCCGAGGCGTCAAGTTCTTCTGACAGGAGTCCCCTGGCTCTGCCCTGGCTGCCGGAGCGGTTCTCTGGGAGGGTTTGCTCTCCTGGCCTGGGTGCAAGCCGTGGCTGAAGCAG